TTTCTTTCGTTGTTTCTTGGTTGACATATCAAATCTTGCTCTCGAGATTCTTGTGGTTTTCCAACCAATGGTCATGCCATGTAAAAACCGGACCTGTTGATATTAAACCCCAGGACCCTTAGATTGCAGACACACAAAGTGAGCAGCGCCCAGAACGCCCATGGTTCAATTTTTAGCAGGTGGTTCTACCGGCTGGAACAAGGGTAGTAAAGCCTATGTACCCCCCCCACCGACTAACATGGAAGTGCACAGACCCCTGTGGAAGGACTACTTTCCTCTTGGAAAGGGGCTTTGTGACTTCCATGTTAGTTGGTGGGAGGGTAAATCAACTTGTGGATTTGGTTCTTTGCATTTTGGGGCCTGGATGGACGAAGTTTTCTCGCAGGCCCAGCTGAAGCGGCTGGGCGTGAACAACATCCCGGGCATCGAGGAGGCGAAAGATGCGCTTGGAAGTTCCATCGGCGGCCCGAAAGCAGCAAGGGGATGTCCAAGGGGGGGGACTAAACAAGATCTGGTTTTGGGATGTTCAAAAGCCGAACGGGGGGGGAATGTCCAAGGTCTGCTGGTGAAGCGATCGAAGACCCTACAAATCACCCTAAGCCGTTTTGGCGGGGACGGAAGGGCCTCCTCATTTCAGGTCACCACCCTTGCAAAGCCGTTTTGGCGGGGACGGAAGGGCCTCCTCAAAGGTTCAGGTCACCCGGTCACCCTTTCAACAAATCTCCAATCTTCATGACAGGCAATGACCCAACTTGGATGACAATCCTTAGGTAAACAAGGGTTGACTCATTGACATATGGACCCAGCCATTGGTTTCATGGCGGTTTGGAAGCTCAGGGACCAGCCGACCAGCCGACCAGTAAGGAATAGATAGCCAATCGGACGATCCCCGGCTTGTGCCACTTTGGGGGCTCAGTTCTCAGCATTTTGACGAAGAATGGTGGGGTTCAGAATTCATCGATGTTTAATGGATGACACTTCACCACCAACATGTGGTTGTTAGAAAACAGCATATGCTGAATCCACCAGAATTCACCACCAAGATATGTTGAATCCATGTTCATGTTTAATGGTTGAGTAATTGAGAATTCACCACCAATGTTTACCCGGGAGTCGGCGAGGAACCCTAGGGTATAGGTCACTGGGATCTGGGTTGAGCAACCCGATTCGCCAGGTGAACATGTTCAAGGACGATGGCAGCGTGCTGCACTTTGCGAACCCCAAGGTCCAGGCGCTGTGCAGTTTTCGTTTCGAATTCCCGCGGCGAGCGGAGTTTTGCGGCTGAAAAACACGGACACTACCCGTAAAAATGGGTGGCTCCCAACCATTCGGTTCCTTAATTAGTTTTTTTTGGGGGGTGCGTAATTGATTTAGTGGTAGTTTCTAACCCACTAAAAGCTATTGGGTTATTACCCGAAATGTTTGGGTTGCTTCCCCTTTTCTAAGGGTTTCGTCAAGGTGATGAAAATCGGTTGCTTTGAATTTAATCACCAAGTCCTGCCAACCCCTTTGAACATAGCCCGGATAAACGGATAAACCAACCTGACGGATTCATATTTGCAAATGGGGGTTGATCAAAAGGTCCTTTACATGCGATGACCATTGGTCGGAAAACAAACTAAGATGATATGTCCCACATGGGAAAAAGTTGCCCTAAATGGAGTATTGATCAACCCTCGTATTTGTTCGTTTCAATGTTGGCGAGCGAAAGTGATCATTCGAAGATTTGACCGAATTGGCAGCACATTGGGGGTGCAACCTTCGTGATCCGGATCCCCTCGTTAAATTCTACCCTCCCTCCCACTAAGCACCCAGTCCCATGCCATTTTAGTGGCCAGGGCATGAATTTTGAGAGTTGGAACCACCGAACCCAGGGGTTGGTGGACATGACCCGCCACCCTTTTCTGATGCCCACCAAAGAGTCCCCCCATGAAAACTTATGCCCAGATGGGATGCCTGCTTTTTCATCAACCGGAGGTCTATTGATCAATCAGACTCGCTTCGAGCGAGGGGCGGGACTAGAGGCTGCCGCCGCTTAGGAATATCCTTTCAAGTGCGTCAAAACTAGGAATCGACTCGCCAAGTGGTTGTCACATATTCTTGTCCCGCACCAAGAACAAACTTGCTTTTTGAGGCAAGAACATACACAAAGGATCGCCCACACCAGCACCCATTGTCTAAGATCGCCCCCAAACCAACCACTATTCCCGGGGTTTTATGGGACGTACAGCCACTGTATAGCCAGTATGTAAGGGTATACACCCCATTTCCTTTGAGCTTTGCTTGAAAGTTTGGAAGCCGTCTTAGACAAATCGACTTGACAACGTGGGTTCGCCCAATGAACGAGTGAAAGGCACCGGTCAACAAAGCCCAATTGCGTCATCATGGTGCAGTCATGTGTGTATAATATATATATATATATAATTGTGTAGCCCCCTAATATGATCTGCCTTTCGTCCTGCCACGCAACGAAAGATGGACCTAGAGCCTCAACCTACCCATAAAATACAACGGGTTGTGGCAACCCACCAGAAAATAGGGTGTTTTTCCGGAATTTTGAGGGCCACTCTGGGACTTTTTTTTGCGAAGCGCCAAGGCACCAGGCGCCCGACCCATTTTTCGCCGAGTCCTTTTGTCCTTTTCGAGGCGTCGGTGGCTGGCAACACCTACGTGGTGGCGGGCCAGGCCGAGGCGAAGCGACTGGAGGAGCCGGAGACGATGTTGCTCGTCTTATTTTTTTGTAGGCCAAACCGACCACTTCTGTGCGTGGCTCCGGAGGATTCTCCGCCTTTTTTTTTAGGGCACATCGACCAATTCTAGGCGTGGCTCCGGAGGATTTTTAGCGTTCCCGCATCTGGCAAACATCGACCAATCTGGGCGCTCAACTCAGTTCCTGAGCTGGACTTTCAAGCGGTTTGGTGTTGGGACCCTTTTTTGGTATAAAACGCTTAAGGACTTTTTGGGACTCGGGAAGTGGGTGTGGCTTTCAATGAAGAGCTAGGGTTACGCCATTTACCAGGTACGCCATTTGGGTAATTTGTTTATTGAGCCACAGCCGTCTGGGTTGTTCAAAGGCAATCCGCAAGATCCTTACCTTACATAAGGATTTAAAGTCCCCTTGCAATTGTTGCACAATCGGAATTCTGGATTAGGATTGACCTATCCATTTTGAACAGCCCAGCAATCAATTCAGAGGCTGGGGTCTGGTATGTGGAATTTATGACTATTTGGTAACGATGTTTTGGACTGCATAAATTGTTGGTTGACACTTTGTCGGATTTTCCGGATACCCAGAACAAGTGCAACACTTTTTGGAGAGGGGTCAGCAGCAACCAATGTTACGTTGCTTTTTCTGCGGAGGGGTCAACGGCAACCAAACATTTGGGCAAGCTTGGCCCCTTATATCCTCTACGTACATTACAAGGCGCTTAGGGATTTTTTCGGGTTCCTCTTTAAAAAAAAAGGGGGGAAAAAAAACAGGAAACAAACTCGTGAGCGCCTGGCTTTTAGACGCCCCTGCTCCCTGTGTGCGCGTTAGGACCTGCTTCCGGGGATCATCAACCAGTTGGGCCGCTGGCTTATCGATCGATCTGGGCCCCGAGTTTTGGAGGGAGACATGGGTTGAGTCTTTTTTTTGAGTTGGTACCGGTGAGTTGGGTGGTTTTAACAAGCCAAGAGGAGGCCGGTACCGTTGGCACACGTTTGCTTTGGTGGGTTTAACAAGCCAAGAGGAACACCGAAGCCATTCTGGGGGGTTCCCTAACCAACGAAACAACCAAATCAACCATGCGGATGGGCAAAATCCGCGAAGAGATCCATTCTGGGCTTCCTCATCCCTCCCTCAAGGAGGAAGCTTTCCTCGACCAAACCCCCCGGTTCCGAGCCCACGCAGCTTTACCAACTCTCAATCCGAGGAAATTCCTACGAGCGAGTCACGTAGGTCCACCTTGCTCGCTTAGTATAAGCCATCCCCCGTGGTTTCAACTTGGGAATCCCTAGGCTCATTCTCACCCGACTCAGCCTCAGCGAGATACTTGTGATCCGATTCTTATTCAGGTTTTGGAATAATTGCAAACATTGCAGACCATATTATGGACGGGGGAGAGGGGGGGTTGCAGAGTTTTAAAGGGAAAGGAAACACGTCATTTTACCGATCCGATTGCTATTTCGAGAAGTACCCATGTGCATGTTTGTGGGGGAGGAAGAGAACGGCCGTGATGCGAGGACTTGCATTGCAAGCTTGAGGAGAGCTCAAAATTGGATTTTGTTTTGTGATTGCTGGGAATTGCCTTCGTTTTGCGAATGGGACTGACTTTGGGAGCAAGCAGTTGGCATGCTGAACACTGCAAGAAGTCTGCCCGTAAACCCTGTGAATACTCATGCACATGATGTTCGGCCAATATTCTCCGTCATCTACTAAGTACAAGTAATCGTTCACAAGCGAATGGAGATTACCCACCAATCGCATGGCTGGGGACGACCTGAGCAATCTACCAGTTGTTTTGGACAAACATCGGGAAAACCGCCGGGCCAAACTACAAAAGAGGCTTCCACGGAAGATCTTTTGCCGGCTCCCTCGATGTTTTGGCGGCAAACGAACCGTTTGCGAGCGGGAATTTGGGTGCCTGAAGCCGGTTTGCTTGGTGTCCCCTAGGAAAACCACCTCACAAAGGGTATCATATCAAAACCAGACGCACCCATTTGGACCCCTTTGTTGCTTGTG